CAAATCGAGAACGGTGAGATTGTATGCTGCATAATAGCAGGACCCCTAACTTAATCGCCCAAGTACGCTGCGGAATTCCGAGCCGAGAAAATCACTTTGAAGCTAGAAGCGGGCAAGGTGGCTCCGCCCCTCAGTATGGATAGTCTGAAGAAAATGAGTTCGAATGGAGATTTAGGGTAGATATTCGAGAATCTGATGAACATAATAAAAAGCAGGTCTAAAAGCAACTATAGACACATACCCATTCTTGAATTTGTTTTTTCAGACCACCCACGTTGGTGGGCGGAGCCACCTTGGCCGCCTGTGGTGTCAGGGGCGATTTTCTCGCTTCAGTCTTCATCTTTTGCAGCGGGACTTGGGCAATCACTTGTCTGATAATTCCGTTATCATGAAACTCTGCTATCTCCTAGATCACTTTGCTTGACTCTACTACCAGCCAACAAATGCTGCACCACCAGTTAGTAAGATAGATGAGCTAGATCATCACGTCCGACCAGAGACAGTGTAATCTTAGCAGAGCGAGGAAGTGACTGACTTTTGCGACAGCCGGAGCTGCTCTACCAAAAGCTCATCTGTCTTGCACAATTGTAGTTTTTATGCTCTAATGCAATCATCCACCTACACCTCTCGGTGTGAGAAAATGTCTGACGCTGGTGTGGGAACGGCAAAGATCTTTGGGATTTTTGAACTTGGCGAAGACTCACGTAGATAAGCATAGCAGCATAACGAGCTCGGAGATTGTGAAGTACAGACGCATCGTTAAGGAAGGTCAAATTTGACATGTCCTCGGTTTTTTCGTACTTTGGAGGATTCATTTCCTGCACAAGTTCCTTCTTGAGCGTCAACTGAAAGATTTTTTTTAGAAAAAATGCTTGTTTTTTCTGTAGCTGGTCTCTTTGGCTCTATGCTTCGGTCCTTTTGTGCATTCAAGAAATTTTCGGTTCTCTTTTCGATAGGATTTACCCCCTGCACATTCCGTATTACAACGTGCGCCTTACGGCAGCCGGCGCACCCACGACTCGGCGGTTGTGGATGAAGAAAAACTCGCAGCTGTTGGCAATATAGAATGCATAGACCGAGGATCTCTCGAATGTGCCCCCTCCCCCCACTCACCTTTTATCTAAGGGACCATGATTATCAGCAAAAAATACGAACCTCATTTCCGCGAGCGGTGACTACCGTAACCGAGTCTCCTTTTGTACCGGTAATTTCTCCCGCAACATATCCTTCTTCTGCATCGGGAACCCAACAGTTCTTCTTTGAGTCATAGGGTTTGGATTGATCCTGAATGGGTAAAGTGGAGCTTTTGGGTAAAATGTGATCAAATTGGGGAATCGAGAGAATTCTTGAGGAGCTACAAACTATACACAGCTTTTGAGTAAGTTCGAACCCTATTTAAGACTTAGGGATTTTTCACAATTAATCTGTGGGGTGAGTATAAATTTTTATAGATTGCGACCCGGGATGGAAAATTGTGAGAAATTTCTAAGTGCTGTTTCTAATTGCTAAATTTTTGTTGACGATTTTGTTTGAGCTTTAATGAGAATTCAATAGCTTTGATAC